AAAAAAAAAAAAAAAGAAAAAAAAGGGCTAGGGGTGTATGTAGCTCACTGCAAAGGCCCTGGATTCAATCCCCAGTACAGAGAAGCAGCAGAAGGAGAAGGGAAGAAGGAAGAGAAAGGGGAGGGGGAGGACGAGGACGAAGAGAAAATCCACCCTCTGTGAGTTCGTTCAGGGCCTGGAGCCCTGGGGCTTTGGGGGGTCAGCAGCCACTCTGTCAGTTCTCCCACCCCACCCCCTATGGGCCCAAGGACAGGAGGAGAGACAGACAGGCTCCCCGGGGGCGGAGACCTGCTCTGGCCTCTCCCCAGGTCCCGGTCCTGCAGGCTGGCTTAGGCTGGGGGCCCAGTGTCCTCGGAAGGGCTCTGCAGCTCGTAGGAGGGGTGGGCGATGGGATGTAGGGGCTTGGAGCTGCTGCCCGAGGCCACCCTTGTCCATTGTGAGGACAAGAAAGGAGGACTGTGTGGGTTGCCAGCGGGCCAGCCTAGACGCGCCTGAGCCCACGCCCGCACACGCTCCGCCCGTGTCTGCCCCCACCCGCCACCCGCGTGGCGACGTGCGTGTGCACAACGGGTCAGGGCCCACGCACCGCCCTGGTGGGCCCGAACCTGAGGCCAGGCGGGCGCCAGGGCCGGGTGAGGAGTTGGGCCAAGGCCGTGTCTGGGGCGGGCGTTCCCAGGGCACCTGGCAGCCCCTACCCGAGGCTGAGGGTCTCTCTCTGTGCCCCTCTCCCTGTCCCTGTCCCCTCCCCTTGGTCCCTGACATCTGGGCAGGTCACCGTGGGATCTGGCCTCCCTCTCTGCGGTCCCCCGCTGTGCCGCAGGGCCAGGCGGAAAGCCAGGTCTAATCTCCATCTGGTCCCCACGGCCCCTCAGGGCCAGGGCCTAATTCCTTGTGACAGCTAAGCTGAGGGACCCCGGTTGCCAGCAGCCAGCCTCGGATTTACACCCTCCCGCCACCTGCATCTAAAAGCCAGGGCCTGCAGCTCCCCTGCGGCGGCCCCCCGGGGCCAGGGTGCGGCTTACACTGGGCCAGGCGGGCGATCCGGGCGTCCAGGGTGCGAGGGGGGCGGCGCAGCGGGGCCAGCGCGGGCCCCAGGCGGTGGCTGAGTAGCAGACCCTCGCGACAGATCCAGATGGACAGCACGGAGCTACAGAGCACGGAAGCCAGGGCCGCCGCCTTCCAGCGCTGCATCCTCTGCCTGTGGGCACAGGGTGATCAGCCGCCGCCCTGCGTCTGTCTGTGTCTTTGGTGACAAACGGGGTGCCGGGCGCTGCGAACAGTGGGGCCCCTGCCTCCGAACACCCCATGCTTAATGATCATTAGTAACATCGAAATGATTCATCCGGGAACCATGGAACACGATGGTGAGGTGTTGCCAGAGACAGGGCGGGCTCTGTGCCAGGGTAATGCGGAGCCACGCCCATTTCAGGGTCCCGGAGTGTTTTCTAAGGAGCCCATGATAGAGCCCAGACTTGAACAAGGGTAGGAGTTGGCCAGGCATCCGAGCGTAGCGTCTAGGGTAGGGAGGGAGGGCAGAGCAGTGCAAAGGCCCTGAGGCCCAAGCCAGCTGGTGTATCCAGCAAGTGGAGGGCGGCGAGGCCTTCCAGCAGGTGGCGCTGCAGAACAAGGGTGGAAGGAACCCGGGCTGACATGGCGCCCAACTGTTTATGTCTTTGAATGACTCCCTGTCCCTCTCAGGGCCTCAGTTTCCCCTCCAGGGGGATAAATCTGTGCTCCAAAGTGGGCAGCGATGGAACAACGCTGCGCCAACACAGAGTGCCACCCCCGAGGCCTTGGCACAGGCTGATCACCCCTTCTAGTCCCCTCCCACTCCGGTTCCCCTTCCAACAGCGCCTCCTCTAGGAAGCCCACCCTGACTGCCTCCCCGCGTTCCCCAGCAGTCCGGGACCCGCGCGGGGGCTCCCTCTGCGCCCGCACCACCACTGGTCTCCCCCGCCCATGAAGGCAGGGGGTACTCGGCGCTGCGGCTGCCGGGCAGCGGGGTGCTCGGGCTCGCTGCATACAGGAGGTGTTTAATAACTGCCGCGCATCGCCCCTCCCGGGCCCGGATGCTCCCCGCGCCGGTGCCCCGGCCGCGTTTACATTCCCGCCGGCCGCCCGGGGTCTCGGAGCCTGGCCGCCCGCCCGGCGTAAACATTTACAGCAGCGCTGAGCTGAGCGCCGCTGCAGCCGGCAGCCCCCGCAGGGCGGGCTCGGCCGGAGCCGCCAGCGCCCCCACGTGCAGGCCGCGCGCACAGCGTTCGTTAGCGCGCGATTTGCGATTATTTGCATGGGATTTGCATGGGCCGCGTGGCGGGGGTTCTACCGCCTCCTCCACGCGGCCCTCCTCCCTCAGGGATGCACAGGGCGGCGACACCACCAACAGTACCGGGGGCAGTTTAATTATGAAGCACCACTGGTGCGCTGGCCGTCAGAAAGGTGCTTGCATCTCCATTTTACAGCCGGGGAAACCGACGCACAGAAGAGCTGGGGGTTTGCCTCTATTAGTGGTATTTGGTATCGCTTGCGGGGTGAGCCCTGGCCCTCCTGCGCGCTAGGCAAGTGCTACACCCCCAGCCTGGAATGGCTGGTTCTCTGGTTTTTTCACTGTTGCTGGTGTTCGGGGATGAGCTTCCCGACGCGGGAGTAAGCAAATCCTGGGCCGATCTGCAGATGTGATGAGGCGAATTGGGGAATGGGGAGAGAGGCTCAGCGGACTCCCTAGTACGAAGCAGGTGCTTCGTAGATGCTTGCAGAAGGAAAAAGGGAAGGAAGGAAAGAGCGCGGCCCTGGATGGCTCAGATCCCAAGTTCTGTTCTGGGAGGCAGGAGCCCAAGTTCAAGTCCAGCCTGGACAACTTCGCAGCAACACCCTGTCTCAAAATACAAAATAAAAGGGCCTGGGATGTAGCTGAGTGTAAAGGCTCTGGATTCGATCCCCAGGACTGCAAATAAATAAATAATAGAAATTTTAAATGCCAGGGTTCAAGGTCTCAGTGTGTGGCCCTCATCCAGCATCAGGCCCATTACAGAAGCCCATGCCGTTTACTAAGCGCTAACTGTGTACCAAGCCCACAGATATCAGCTGTTGGGTCTCTTTTGTGCTACTGATAAATCCACACATGCATCCATTCAGCCACCTAACGTTTATTGAGCACCTGTGATGTGCCAGCTGGAGGACACCGTGGGCCCAAGAGGGACAATATGCAAACATACTAAGCAGGACGGAGCCTGCACAGCGCAGGAGCCAAGAGGCCTGTGTGCCTGGAACAGAAGGAGCTGGGGGCAGCGAGGAAGTGGGGGAGGTGGGGAGGGGACCGGAAGTCCTGGCACTCATGGATATCCAAAGCCAGCACCTGCGCATTTAATAAGCACCTACTGTATGCCCAGATCCACTCTACAGACCTACCCCATGTTAAAGCCTTTCAGTCTCCCAAGAGTCCCAAGGGGCAGCAATAGCCATATCCTCATTTTACGGACTGGAAACAGAGCCAGGCATGGTGCTGCACACCTGTAATCACAGCACCCCAGGGGGAGAGGCTGAGGCAGGAGGATCCCCACAAATCTGATTGCCACTGTAACCCAGGCTATTGTGAGTTATAAAATAGTCAGTTCAAGGCCAGTCTCAACTACATAGCGAGACTTGTCTCAAAAAAAAAAAAAGATGAAAAATTGTGGCTCACAGAAGTAATGTTACTTGCCTAAGGTCACAGAGCGTGGGTTTGAATGCTGGCGGCGGCCTGGCCGCCGGGAAGGAAAGACAGGCAGGGAAACCCGCCCAGACCTCACTGGCCCACCAGCACTCTGCTGCCCCCACACCTGAGTCTGGGCCTGGCTTGCCTCAGTTTCCCCGTGAGGTTGGAAGAGACTGAGTTCTGATTGTTTGCACTAAGGGTTTAACGGGGGCGGGGGGTGAGGAACCAGCCCCAGCACGGCCTGGCCACAGCCTGACGGCCTTGGGGTCCAGACCCCATGCAGCTCCCGCAGGGGACAGGAAAGCGGCAGGCTGGGCCCAGCAGTGGCGGCTGATAAGCAGCCTTAACAATGGCCTTTCTGTGCGGGGGTCACCCGACTGGTTTGTCTATGGCACCGACCCGGCAGGAGGGGGAGGCGCAGGTGTGGCTGAGGACACGGGGGGGGGGGGGGGGGGGGGGGGGGGAGTCCAGGGCCACCCGTGCTGCCGCGTCAGGGCCTGGGCGGTGGTCCCGTCCCTTCTGGGGACAAGGCCCGCAGGCTGGAGAATTCCCGCCGCCCAGGCCCGGAGCACCTCTTTCCTCCAGCCACACCAGCCTCAGTGCAGCGAGAGGGACCTAGGCCAGGTGTCCGCAGTCTCTGCAGGGACCAGGGGGAGGGAGGAGAAACAGGTTCAGAGAGGGGCCTCAAGTAGCTCTCAGTCACACAGCTGCGAGATCTTCACACCGGACCCAAGGAAGGGCACGGAGGGTGAGGGGGTGTGGGTGTTAGTGATACAGAAAATGGTGTGCATTATCCTTGCTCCCAGGCGATGCCTTAGGGCCGCAGCAAGTCCAGGCCCAGGTGCCTTCACTCATGGAACTACCTATTTCATGGCTCCTTCCAGGGAGAGGAAAAAGGTGAGGGGATCTATCTTTCCATCTAGTCATCTCTTCCACTTTGGGGGAGCTGGGAATTTGGCTTATCCCCATCTGGCAAACTCCTATCCATCCCTCAAGGCCCTAACTCTTATAGCCCCTCCACTAGACAGCCTCGCCTGGTCCTCTAGCTGCACCTCCTTCCCAGGTGCCCAGCCCTGCCATCATAGTGTCTGGGTCCATGTCATCTTCCCTTTCTTCTCGCTCATGATCCTGTGGTGACTCAGTTTCTGGATCTGCAGCCAAAGGGAGATGCGAACCACCACTGGAACACCAGGGAGGCCTTGACTGCGTGGGGACTCATGGCCACCAACAGGCAGAGCCAGAGGGACGTGAAGCCAGGTGTGCGCATGCGTGAGCAGAAAGGCCGCCGTGCGTCTGGGAGTGCGCATGCGCGGGGCTCTGACCCGCCAACCTCAGATCCTGCTTTTACGTGGGTACCAGGCTCCCCGGGCCTCAGTTTGTCCATCTGTACAATGGTCTGCACAGGGCCCCGCCCCTGTTTGGAGAGCCATCGAATTTGATGAACTCCTGCTGGGCTGGGGGACAGCCTGCAGGCCCAGGGTCACACGGATGGGGAAACTGAGGCCCCATGAGCAGCGGGACTGGGCCTGGGGTCTAGGCCTCTCTCAAGACGAGATTCGAGGGCTCCACAAAGCAACAAATTCCACAGCCCACAAAAATGTGGCCCCTCCCTCGGAGGGCCCCAGGGCCTGGCCCCACACCGCCAGAGGCTGGGGCAGCTGCAAGCTGGTGACACACATCTGGGGCAAACCAGGAACATCTGGCCAGCACAGATGTTTCCACGCAGTGTCTGTGGGGGCCAGAGGCCAGGCTCTGGGGCGGCTCTGGATACTGGGGAGAGACAGAGACACCCTCAGCCATCCCTTCCCGTCCTGGCCAGGGGAGGGCGCCCAGCCTGCCGTCTTCTCCCCAGCCCGTAGAAACTGAGTGCCGCTCAACTGCTAGAACCATTGCTGGCTCCCCACTACTCTGAGGGTCAAGTCCCTATGCGTAAGCTTGTCTCTGGGCCTGTCTGCCAAAGCAACGGGTGGAGTCTGCCAGGTGCTTGTGAAAAATCATAGTTGGTATAGTGGCCCATGCCTATAATCACAGTGCTTTAGGAGGCTGAGGCAGGAGGATCTCAAGTCCAAGCCCAGCCTGGATGATTTAGTAAGACCCTATCTCAAAATTAAAATAAATAAATAAGGGCTGGGGGGTGTATATCAATCTGAAGGCCGTGGGTTTAATCCTCAGTACTGGGGGGAAAAAAGGTATGAATTATTTTGTTCCATTTGGTAAATGTACTGCCAAAACAAATACTTTTGTCCCATTTGGCAGATGGGAGAACTGAGGTCCAGCGAAGTGAGGTGACTTGCTCAGAGTCACACAGCCCAAGTGGCTAAACCAGGACTGGAACCCTGCAAACTCCCAGTCATTCCTCAAAGCCCCAGTTCCAATAACCCCCACTCCACATTCTTAACCACATAGCAAATGGCTGCTGTACCTACAACAGCAATAGCAACACTAATACCCAGCAATGCTGCCTCAGTGCTAAGTGCTTCCCCTACAATCAGTCCCTCTCACAGTCCCCGAAAAAGATGTTGGCAGCCTTGTTGCTACATGGGGAAACTGAGGCTCGGGGAGGTTAAATGATTGCTCCAAGTCACACAGCAAAATAGCTTTAAGCCAGGGTTTGGCTCTCAGTGACTCTGCAGCCACTTCCAGAGAGCCTCCTGACTGAGAAGAGACATGAGGGAGGGTGTTAGGCCTGCTGTACGGAAGCCCAGGGAGGTTAAGAGGTTTTCTCAAAGACACACAGCAGAGTGGAAAAGCTTATTGGGTCCGCCTGGGCTCTGCTTTGAGAGATAATAAAGACAAAACAAAGGCAGCAATTTCAGCAGTGCCTGGGGGGCCAGGGAGGGCTTCCTGGAGGAGGTGGCTCCTGAATGGCCATGTGACAATCTGAGGAGGGTGTTCCAGGCAGAGGGGACGCAGGCCCAAAGGCTTGGAAGCGGGACCTTGCCTGTTGGATGTTACCAGCATGGCTGGAGCAACTGCAGCCCTGGGACAATGTGGGGATGCAGTCAGAGGTCAGCTGGCGGAGGCACGTCTGTCATCCTAGCACTCTGGGAGGCTGAGGCAGGAGGATCCCAAGTTTGAGCCCAGCCTGGGCAACTTTGCAACTTGTGAGATCCTGTCTCACAGTAAAGAATAAAAGGGGCTAGGAATGGAGCTCAGTGCGAAGGCCCCGGCTTCCACCCCCAGTACTAAATAAAGGAAAAAGAAAAAAGAAAAAAGAAGCTAACAGGCCCTTGGAGGCCCCGCAGGACAGCCTCAGCCAGCTCCGGCACTCAGCAGGCAGCTGTGTCAGGGGGTGGGCTGTTGTGGGCGGCCCGGCTTCCCAGGCCCTGCGGTCGGCCTGTAAAATTCCCACCTTGACCACACAGGGTGGCTGGGGGCCCCATGCACCTGCGGCCGGCGGGGGCGGCTGGGGGTGGGTGACAGGATCAGGCTAATGAGGCCTGGCACGGCTGAGCAGCTGGCACGGCGCCCGGAGTGCAGCTCAGGAGACGCGGGTCCTCGGGGAGCAGCCAGCAAGCCGCCGCCTGGGGCAGCTGGCCGGCTGACCGCAGGGAAACCGAGGCACAGGGTGCCAGTGAGGCTGGAATCACGCCGCTGACCAAGACGGGCAGTCCCACCCCAGCGCGTCTGTCATCTCTGCAAACTCAAATCAAGCGTCGGGCCCCCGCAACACGCTGTGCGGTCCAGACCCGTACGGTGCTTCTGCTGCAGACCTCAGTTTCCCCAGAGAGAGGGCAGCTACGTGCAGTAAGCTGGGCCCTGCTGTCTCATTTCTTCCAAGGCGCACCTGGAGCCTGATTTCTTCCTTTCTTCTTTTTTCTTTTTCTTTTCTTTCTTTTTCTTCCCTTCCCTTCCTTTTCTTTTCTTTCTTTCTCTTTCCCTCTTTCCTCTCTCTCTCTTTCTTTTTTGAGACAGGGTCTCATTACGTGGTCCAGGCTGGCCTCAAATTCCTGGCAGTCCTCCTGCCTCAGCCTCCTAAGTGCTGGGATCACAGGTGTACACCACCACCATGCCCAGCTCTGAAGCCTGATTTCACTTGGATTGGATGAGGTGTCTGGTCCATGATCCCAAACAGCCCTGCCAAGAGGGTCCCCGTTTCCACATACTCCTCACTCAGGATTCAGGCACCCTGCAATCAAGCCCCACCCACCCCCGCTTTTCCCACCCTCCCTGTGCATGGGTGTCACCCGGGCCAGAGCACTGCGTTCAGGAGCTCACAGAAAGAAAACCTTCCACCCTACCTGCCTCAGTCTTGCCAGCCGTGAGACAGGGAGCCAAGGCTCGACTCCTACCGGGTGGGCCTGGACACTGAGGCAGGAGGAGCACCATGAGTTCAAGGCCAGCCTGGGCTACATAGCCAGACCGTGTCTGAAAAAAAAAAAAAAAAAAAAGACCTCTATCTGCCCCTCATGCCCTCTTTGGCCTTGAGCTCTGGACCTCCTGTCTCACCCGGGGGGACCCTAGATGCCCCTGCCTCTGCCTCTCTAAGCCCCTCAGCAAAGACAGCCCGGCCTCCATGACGCGGGGCGCCTCAAGGCCAGCGCCTCTCCCTTCTGTGTCCCACCCATGAATCTCTTTGGCCACCCTCACGGGTTCTTGCTCTGCCTGCCTTCCAGAACAGTCTCTGTCTGTGCCACACTCACCAGTGTACATTGAGGATGCCAAAGCAAGCCACCCTCTTTCTGCCTCCAGACCTTCCCATGTGTCTTCCCATCACCTGGGACATCCTTTCTTTTTCCTACTTAGAAAACTCCTACTCATCCTTTGCAGCTCCAGCCCAAATCCCCCTCTGGGAAGTCTACCCTGATCTTCCTACCTTGCAGTAGAGCCCCTGCTCCTCACTCTGGGCTGCACCAGCTCTGTACCCTCAGGTCTGAGTCTGTCCTCCTTGAAACACAGGACATAGAAGCCTGATATTCTAGACAGTTAAGTTAGCTAGAAATAGTATATGCAGTCAGACGGGACTAGCCCCTCAAGGAGTCAGTGTAAAAGATAAGAACACATCACCACCGTGGCTGGAGCCACATTCACTGAGTGTCAGGCCTCAAGATAAAGATGGAATGACCACACCTACACACCTCCCCAAGGGCCACACAATATACTGTGATCACTAGACCTGGTGCAATAGTCTAGCTATTCCTCAGTCACCCAGGTGGGTGACCAGGACCTCCTGACTACTCATCTCTTCCAAAAAGGGTCCTGATTCTTTCCACATGCACTTGCTTCCCCGTTGGATCAACAGTACCTAAGCAGCTATACTTGCGATCCTATTGATGTAGGCAACTGAGTTAGATAGAAATGTATGTGTATGTTTTTGTCTTTTTGAGACAGGGTCTCGCTATGCAGTTCAGGCTGGCCTTGAGCTCACTTCGTAGCCCAGGCTGGCCTCGAACTCTCAACGATCCTCCTGCCTCAGCCTCCCGAGTGTTGGGATTACAGGCGTGCGCCACCACGCCTGGCGGATATAAATATTATAGGCAGTGAGAGAGGGCTGGGCCCTCAAAGGAGCCAGTGCAGAAGACAAGATGCCTTGCAAATGTCGGGGAGACAGGCACCTCCGCTGTAGGCCAGACCACAAAACAAAAGATGAAACAAATGCACTCACATACCTACCTAAGGATAAACATCAGAGATTGATATTTTTGTTTTTGTCTTTTTGAGACAGGGTCTCGCTATGCAGTTTCAGGCTGGCCTTGAGCTCACTTCATAGCCCAGGCTGGTCTCAAACTTGCAACGATCCTCCTGCCTCAGCCTCCTGAGTGCTGGGATTACAGGCGTGCGCCACCACGCCCGGTTTAGGGATTGAGATTCTAAATGGGTCTCTATCACCCTGAGGAACCCAGGAAGTCTCTAAAAGGCCCCGGTTCTGCATTCATGCCGGATAGCTATGTGACTCGCTTCCCTGGTAGATCCTGATTTAGTCAGTTTTATCGGAGCCATTATACTTGTAGTCTCATTGGCTGACCATAGTTTTGTCCCACCTCATGCCCACCTTGCCATTTCCCATGTTCCCCTCCTTGGACCCACCTCAGGCGGTGGATTTGCTCTATAAAAATCCCTAGAAAAGGCACGTTCGTCGGCAACCCACTTGGGCCCCCTTCTGCCTCTGTGTCCCTCCCCGCTCTCTCTCACAGAAGCTTCCTTTCCCTCAGTAAATAAATTGTGCTCTTAACCTCTGTTGCTCCTAAAATTCACTCTTCGATTTTAGAGAACACTAACTCATACCGGATATCCAGCAGGCTGGGAGTTTCTTTCCCCCTGCATCACAAGTTTGGCTGATCATAGTTTTGTCCCACGTTGTACCCACCTGGAGATTTTGCTCTATGAAACTCCCTTTGAGAAGTAGGCTCCCTCCTGCCAGTCAGGAGCTGTTTTCCTACTCTCAACCTCCGCTGTTCCTTAGAATTCATCCTCCAACTCTGGGGAGCCGAGCTCACCGTGCCTGACCTCAGGCAGGCTGGGAGAGGCGATGTTTCCCTCTGTCATCTGAGGTCCCGCATCGGCGAGGCAGCTGCACAGGGCCTGTCCGACACACGCTGAAATACCCTCTTGTTGTGTTCCTGTGCCTCGCTGCTTTTGATTCCTTCCGCCCCAGCATCTTGAAAGTGCTACTCTCTACTCATTCGCCCTGCAAATCGAGGCCCAAACCCCGAGGGGGCAAATACTACTGCTGGTGCCATTTCAGACACCGCACCCAGCTGAAGAGGGGGACGTTTGTTTTCTTCCCTGTACCCCTACAATTAGCTTTTTGCAGCTGTCCGGGGGCAGAGTGAGCTTGGGAACTCTGACCCTCAGAAGTCCTAGGATGAAAGGAGCGGGGAGGGGGTGGGTGGGGGAGAGCTGGCGAGGCTGGGAATCTGCCCGGGCTGGTCACGCAGCACTGGGGTTTCCTCAGCCTGCGGCACCGGCACCGGAGACAGACAAAGAATGTCGTGGAACCCGGACGGATGTGGGACCGGGGCAGGGCAGGGCAGCCAGGCAGGGGCGAGGCAGGCCAGGAGGAGTCCAGTCTCCTGCACCCCTGCTGTTTATGGTGGGCCAGGCTTGCAGGTGACCAGAGGCCCCGTGAGCCTGGCAGCTGTACCCCAATACCTGCGCTGCCTCCTGGGGAGGTGCTTTGGTGGCATGGACCCCGGGGAGAAGTCATTTCTCCCCCACATCCGTCTCCAGCCCCCTGGGCCTAGTGACTGTAAGCCCCTCCGGGGACAAGGGCAGGGAAGACAGGCTTTGCCTCGCCCCCACCCCGCAAACGCAATCTTTACCCTTAAGGGACCCCCCCCCCGCCGCCGCCTTCGAAGGATTTCACGCCCTCTTGTGGCTAAACGGGCGGCCTCGCGAGCTGCGCCAGGGCCGGGCCCTCACCGGAGGACACCGTGTCCCCAGCAGGCGGGCGGGCAGGCGGGCGGCGCTCGGAGAACGCGGCTGGAACGCGCCGCTGACAGATGTTTACTTCTGCGCGCAGCTGGGCCGCGACGGCAGCCCCCTCCCCGGCTCTGCGGGATCCTGAACCCCCTCGAGGCCCCGGGGGACCCCAAGCAGAGGGGCGTCTGGGTCTCGCCCTCCCGGAGGCGGGGGCCGGGGACGCGGGGGCCTCCGAGGAGGAGCCCACAGGGGCGCAGGAGGCGGTCGCACGCGCGCCGTCGGGCC